GGGGGATTAAAATATATTTATTTTAACTGTTTGCAGGGCTCAAAAAGGCTGGCTGGTTCAGAAGGAACGCTTAAATTCAGGTTTTTGACATAGTTGTGTTCAGACGGAGTTCCAAACCTGGATAAAAATCAGATTTGTTAGATCTGTCAGATTGTAACTCTGCCCTTGGGAGAGGTGTTTTTTCAGAGTTTCTGCTTTTTAAAAAAGGAAGAAAGGAGGCAGATTTGGAGACGGTGGGTGTGAGGACTTTTGTTGCAGAGTTGAGAGTAAAAAAGACGCTAATTTCTAATCTTTGGTGTGCTATAACGCTTACTCAAGACTTTACTAAGAATGTGGTTTGATCCTTCACTTATTTTGCAGTGTAGAAAGTTAAGCCCACTTTAATCGTGAGTAATTCGAGGTTTGCTGGCAGAAAGTGGAAATTTGTGTTCTATTCAATACTAGCTCGATCCCCGTGCTTCTTCCCTACGGAACTATGTGGTTGGATTAGTTTTTGGGGAGGAAAATAAGGGGGAAAAAATTGTGCCTCTGCCTACCACCATCCATCGGTATTCATCTGGCTAGCGTCCTGTCAGCGTGTGAGAGTTGAGGGCTGTTTGGAAACTGAAACAATATTTGCCATGTGAGCAAGGAGACAGCAAGGAGCCTGGGCGTGGCTTAGCTCAACTGTTCTGTACTAAAGCTGCATGGTTGCTGTGAAACTGAAACTCCTCTGCTTGTGTTTTGCCTTTGGAAGAGATTTCTTTTCAGGTGGGGAGGGGGAGTAGAACTCCTTAGCATCAGAGCGTGTTAATAATAATAATATACGAAATACTAGTGCTCTGGACGGTCATTTTGAAAAATCTTTTCTGAGTGAGCACCTAGAAGCCAAGAGGAACAGACGTGCCAAATGTCAAGTTTGTAGGCTTTACGGTTCTGGAGATTTTGTGATGATGCGTGAGGGGCATTTCGCATATAAATATACATATACATATACATATACATACATACATATATATATATATATATATATATATATAGGCACTACAACGCTTGATCTGAGCTTGTGGCACAAACCTGGAATGCAATTTTTTTCAACCTGAGAAATTTTAAGATGCGTGGACTCCAATTCCCAGAATTCCCCCAGTCAGCATGCTGGGCTGGGAGAATTCTGGGAATTGAAGTCCACCTATTTTAAAGGTTTGTTATCTGGGGAATTCTGGGAGTTGGGAGAAGAGCAATTTTAAACCACGCTGGCTGGGGAATTCTGGGAATTGAAGTCCAACCATCTTGAAGTATGGTAAGTAAATATGGCCCTCAATGGATGGTTTCCTTTGATGGAAACCTTCACATACCCAGATCTGGTGAAGTTCGGGAAAAAATGGTGATAAAAACATTTTGGACACTGAAGGGAAATTAAAATCGAAGCGAGAGGTTGAAGACCAGGACATTATGCTATCAGGGTGGCCTCAATTGCAAATAAAATCTAGATAGGATACAGATATGAAAAAAGTATGGCTTTTATAATATATGGCTCCTTACTCTTAAAAGTGGATGAGGTTGACAAAAACACTAGTCCACAAAGGGCTGCCTGTGAGCTTCCCACCTGTCCAGGGCAGAGGAAAGCCCTAGCAGACGCATTAGAGAGAACCGGTAGTACCGGTGACTTGTTGGCCCCGCCCACCCGCCTGTGCCCTAGTCCCGGGATGGCAGGACAGTCATTTGTGCGGGCGCGCGAGCCCCAGGCAAACTTACTTCACTGTGCATGCGCGTGCCTCCTAGCTGATTTTCAGCCGGTTTGAGGCCTTTCTCAGCCTGCCAGAGGCTTGAGGGAAGCTCTTTGCAGGCCGAAAAATAGGCCCGTTTTATCTCTACCGGTATTTCCAGAAATACAGAAAGTGATGAAATGGGCCTATTTTTCGGCCTGCAAAGGCTTCCCTCAAGCCTCTGGCAGGCCGAAAAAGGCCTCAAACTGGCCGAAAATCAGCTGGGAGGCACAGTGCAGGTAAAGAGGCATGGGGGGGGGAGCGCATGCATTTCCTTCGGGGGGATGGCATGCAAGTGCGCATACACAATTTTTGGCACAGGAGCCCCAAAAGGTGAGCCACCGCTGCCCCAGCCTGTTCTTTTATTTTTGCGTTTCCAGCTCCGCTGATTCGCACGGCACGGCCGATTGCCCTGCCTCGGCTGTTTTTCTCACCGGGGCTGCAGTAGAAGGTAAATTTTAGCATAAATGGGCTCTTTGTTAATTGCCGCGTGCGCGCAAAAAGCGCACGCTCACCGAACCGGTCGTTACACCGGTTGAATTCCCACCACTGATCCACAGGCTGTAGGGAAGGATGGGGGGGAAAGGAAGCTTGTTCAGAGAAGCTCAAGAGGTTTCCTAGACCAGCCGTGGACCTCAACTTACGAAGAACGTCACATCGCGAGACGAAGGCCAGCAAAACCCCAAATTCGCTCGTGGGAGGGAAGTGGGCACAGCCAGAGAAGGGATCCTGGCTCGTTCCCTGCAGGGGGCTCCGACAATCCCACCAAGACCCCCCCCCCAAGAAAATCCCCCCGTTTTAGCTATGAAAGAAGAATTATCCAGAACGTTTCGGCCCAATTCTAGGATCTCTGGTCAGGGATGACCGCTTGGAATATTTTGGGGGGGGGGGGGGTCCATGGTTGCCATCCGGTACATCCACCCCGCCCTCCGTCCCAGCCCCCTTTTGCCCCACCCCCCCATCCAAAAAATAAACACCTTTTCCAACACCTTGTGGTTTTTTTTCTTTTTTTTTTCCAGACAATCTTCCTTTAATACAAAGTCAATATATATATCTACATACAGAGTGGCGTGGTGACCACTTCAGACTGGTTTGTCCACTTGGCATGGCAGGCTGCTGGCGCCAGGGCCTCGCTTTCGCAGAAAGGAGGGGAGGAGGGGCCACGGGAAGGAAGGAAGAAGAAAAAAAAAGGGGGGGCAGCTGGTCCCGTCCGGCCCCTCGACAGCCGACTCTCCCCCATCCGCTCTCCTCCCCTCACCTCTCTTTCCCTTCCCTGGCCCTGCCAAAATAAGCTTTTCTTTTTCAAATGTCCAAAACCTGTAAAGAAAGTTGAGAGAACGAGACGGGGACCTGGGGGGGGGGCAGGGGGGGGGGAAGAGCTCACAAATATAGATATAGAGATATATTCTTTTAAAAAATACCATTCTGATCAAGCCAGGAGAATCCATTTCCTTGCCTCCCCCCCTCCCCCCCCCTTAAAAAAAGAAAGAAAAGAAGAAATAGATCCAGGTTTTTCCAAGCCAGATATTTAGCCGTTCCCGGAAATGATCGCTCAGAAGCGACAGGACTTGAACCCAGGTCTGGACAGGGTGGATGGATGGAAGGGGGGGGGGGAAACCCCCGGGGTGGGCCCTTGGCTTGCTACCGTACCTTTGTCTATATTTATATATATATTTAGCGATATGCGTCTATTGCTGCTCGTATGGACCATCCCTTTCGGGAAAAAGATCTACAGGTCAGGCCTCAACTTACCAACCCAAAGGAGCCCCCAATTTTGGTTGTTAAATGAGACAGTTGTTAAGCGAGTTTTTGGCCCCATGTTATGACCTTTCATTCCCGCGCTTGGTTAAGTGAATCACTGCAGCTGGTAAGTGAGTCACACGGTCGTTAAGTGAATCTGGCTTCCCCGTGGCGGCTTCGCTGGTTGGAAGGTCACCAAAGGGGACCACATGCTGTGACCATCATAAATGTGAATCAACATGACGGTGGGGGATGCTGCAACGGTCGTTAAGTGTGAACCAACCGCCAAAAGAGTCTGAATCTTGTTCCCATGACCGTGGGGGCGGCCGCAGAGTGTGAAAAATGGTCACAGGTCTAACTTTTTTTCCCTGTGTCGGTGTAACTAAGAGCGGCCACTAAATGAACTGTGGTAAATCGAGGACTCCTTGTTCTTGAACTGCCTGAGGGATTTGGCAGCCTTCATCCAGAGAAGCGCCCTCCGTGCCCAGGAGAAAGAGGCCGGTTTTCGGAGGGCCCCTCGTCCTTCCTCCGAAGGATAACACCCCGAGCAGTTCTCTCCTCCCTACGGCCTTGCGAGGTAGGTTAGGCTAAGAGCAAGAGAGGGACCGGCCTGAGGCCACCCCGTATTTTAAGGCTGAACAGAGCTTTGGAGCTGCGTTTTTGTCCACCCGGACACGTTCCAGCTGGCATCCATCCCACCCCCCACAAAAAAAAAGCCCCTAAGAAGCAGGAAATGTGGACGTTTTGAGCCCCTCCTGGACTGGAAAAGGACATCATTGAGGATTTTAAATCGGAATTTTTTCTTGTGTGTGGGGGGGGGGTCCCGGGGATGCAATGGGAGATTCAGGGAGGGTTTTCTCTGGATGCAAAGGCAGCGTGGTTGGGCGGGGGGGGGCTTTCTCGGGGTTTGGGGTGTCCTCATTGGGCCTGGGGCAATTCAGGGGCCAAAGACCCCTTCCGGGATCCTTAGAAGTTACTCCCTCTGGCCAGGCTCCCCCAAAAAGGCCTCCGAAGAGAGATGAATAACGACCATCATCATTCTTGGGGGGGAAAAAGTAGAAGAAAAGCCGCAACGTTTTCGTCGAAACGTAAGCAGTGACCCCTTTCCTTCCTCTTCCTCCTCCTCTCGTCCCTTTTTTTTTTTTTAAATGGTAGAAAAGCAATATGTAAAAGTAGCAATTATTTTGCACAGCGTTTCTCTTATGTCACACAACCATTACACGTTAACATTTCTACAGTGAAAAAATAGACTTGTCTTTAAACATAATATGAACAAATAAGTAGTTTTTTTTTTTTTGTAAATTCGTTGACTGATAATTCTTTTGTATTTTTACATATTTTTTAAAAAAAGGAAAAAAAAATTACACTATTAAAAAAAGGAGACCCAGGAAATAAAAATAAGAAATAAATGTCACTTATAAGAGTTACATCGATACCTTTTTTTTTTTTTTTTAAAGAAAGCCACTCAGTGATGGTGCCTAATTCTTATAACCAAATCCTTGCAGTCTTGGTTTATTCTGCCTGGATTTTGAAATGGAAAGTACCTTTCTGTTAATTTGGACGTTAAGGAAGCCTGCGCGAGCTTTCTCTGTCCCCAAAATCCACAGGCTCGTCTTCAAATCTGCCATTTTTCTCTTTGGCATCAGGGGAGGGGAAGTTAAAACACCCACAGAAATAAATGAGAGCAACGACGGACAACAACAAAAAAAGAGAGACTAATTTGGATGGGCTAAAGGGAATCAGAAAAGCAGGGGGAAGAATTCCTTAAAAACAACAAAACAAAACAAAACAAAAAATTGGAACTCTTGTGAAATGTATTTCAAATCTCCATGGCTCCTATTTTTTTTTTTTTTTTTGAAATCTGGAGAACAGGAGATCGCCTGGAACTGGCATTTGCAGATTTCCCAAAATTCAGAGTTTAGATTAATGCGTGGTGGGGGGGCGAGCGGCAAAAACCCGTGGATTTTATTTTCATTTTTTTTTATTTTGCAAAATGTGAAATGCCTGGGTGGATTGGGAGGACGTGTTTATTGCCTGTTCTGGTTTTGCTTTTTTTTTTTTTTGGACATGGTGAAGAAGGTTGGTAAAAGAAGAGGAATGTTAAAAAGTGTTTGAAGAAGCTAAGCTGAGAAAGAAGCCGCAGGACAGCCAAACCCCCCCCCCCCCCCCCCCCCCCAGGTGTGGAGTCCTGCCACTCCAACCTGACGCAAAAAAATTGCTTTCTTTGCCTCTTTTTTAATTTTTCACACCTCAAGTGGCTTCCTTTAAGTCCGCCCACAAGGTTAGTAACGTCAACCGAAACCTAAAATGTTACTTTGTGGTGGCCAAATTCTTCTTTTGCTATTTCTCCCCATCAGTTGTTCTTGTTTCTCTCTCTCTCTGTCTGTGTGTAAACTCTCTGGTTCTTGGCCATGGTGTTTGTTTTTCTTTCTTTCTTTCTTTCTTTCCCAATCCGACCGCTGCTCTCCCAGGGTGTGCGTGGACGAGACCCGGCGCCTGCCGCAATAGGAAAAAGTTTCAATACGGTTTTCTGGTTCAGTTGCACGCGGTCCGTGGGCTCCCCGACACCGTCGACACCGGATGAGGTAAGAACATACAAGTTTGTCACTTAAAAAGAAGGAAAAGGAGAGGGGGAAAGGGGGGGGAAATTCCCGCCCTGCTTCGAAGCCACCCTGGGGGGAGGGGCTCCGGGGTTTTCGAAACACAGGCCAAGAGGGTGGCGGGGTGGGGGGTGGGGAAGTCCCTCTTCCGGAGATGCAGCGGCGCCTCGAGAGAAGGAGTGGGCGCTGCTGCCGGCCTCTCCCCTGCCGCCTCCTTTCCGGCGGAGCGCCTGAAATGGGCGGGTCGGGGAGGCAACGTTTTTTTCTGATTCAGTCTGTAGGTGGTTTAGAAAGGTCGAGGTGAGCTTCGCCTCGCTCAAAACGGGAGCCTTGCAGGCTGAAAAGTGTGAAGGAGTCTGCACAACGAATGGCTTTTGAAAAGTTTTCCTTTTCCTTATTATGTTGCATAGTGGTCAAAACTTCCCAGGTATTCCAGGGCAGCCTGATAGCAGAACTGGTATTCGTCCTGGGAGCGGGGAGGAAGGAGAGACGGGTTATTGATCGGCAGGCAGAGTTTGCTCGGCTTATTTGCTGATTTATTAAAAAAAATGCTTGGTTTTATTTCTTTGTATCCTGCTTTTATTATTTGTACAAATAACTCGAGCGGCGAAAACATCCAATGCAATTTCTACCTCCTGTTTCCCCCACGACAACAACCCTGTGAGGTGGGTTGGGCCGAGGGAGAGGGGCTGGCCCAGAGTCACCCAGTTGGCCTTCCTGCCTAAGGTGGGACTAGAACTCACCGCCTCCTGGTGACTGGCCCAAAGTCACCCAGCTGGCTTTCATAACTAAGGCAGGACTAGAACCAGGGGTGGGATTCAGCCGGTTCGGCCCAGTTCAGGTGAACTAGATGTTAAATTTACACCTGGTTCATGGAACCGGTAGTTGAACTCACCGGCTGGCCCTGCCCACCCCTCACCGCCCCTCCCAGGAGTCTCTACCTGGGCCATTTTGGATGCAGGTAAGTGCAGGGTCTGCGTGGAGGGGGGGGGAAAAACAGCCGAATCGGAAGTTCTGGGAGTCCAGAAATGGGCTTCCAGCGGCCCTTCGGACTCTAGGGAAGATGAAAAACGGCAGAACCGGAAGTTCCGGTAGGCCACGCCCACCGTGGCCACGCCCGCCCAGCAACCGGGCAGAGAACCGGTTGCTGGGATTTTCAAATCCCACCCCTGACTAGAACTCACAGGCTCCTGGTGACTGGCTGAAAATTACCCCGCTGGCTTTTATGAAGGCGGGACTAGAACTCACCATCTCCTGGTGATTGGCCCAAACTCACCTAGGCGGCTTTCAGGTCTAAGGGGGGACTAGAACTCACCGTCTCCCTTCACCTGATGGGCGTGCCACCAACATGCAACTATCTGGAGACCTGTTGTACCAAATTATTCTCGCCCCACCAGGGATTTCCCTTCCTGACTCTTTCGAAAAACACACCCCAGTATTGGTTTGAGGGCTAAGAGGGTTCCCCGGGGTCCCTACTGCCTGTCTGAGAAAGATCCTGGGTGCAAATATCAATGGGGCATGCTGGCTTTGTCTCGAGTGGGTCCTATGTGAAGCCCTCCCTTTCTCACCTCTGTCTGCACCATGGCCGGCCGTTGTGTCCTCAGCATCTTCACGGTCTGGAAAATGTCCACTACCCCTTCGTAGCGCATCCTCTCCAGGACGATGCTTAGCGTGATGAAGACGCCGGTCCTGCCTACTCCCGCACTGCCAGAAAGAAGAGAGGGGACATGGATGGGTGTGGAGGGCCCGCGAGGAAACCCACCTAATGCCTACTTTCGCAAGGCGAGGCACGAAGCAGACAGCCGCAAGCTGCCTTAGTCCAATCGCTACAGATTCTCTCATTCCTTGGAAGAAAACCTAAGACGGAGGTCCCCAAACGTGGCAACTTTCAGACTTGTGGACTTCAATTCCCAGAATTCTCGAGCCAGCATTGGGGACCCCCTGCCCGAAGGGCTGCCAAGACGGGAGAATTAGGGCTTTGGAACTGAAATCAAGAGGTGGACCTGTAAAGAAGCAGACCCTTTAAAGCAGCTACCTCCCACAGCTGCAGCATAATCCCGAGAAAAGACCCCGTGGTTTTCATGAACTGCCCGTGCCAAGCACAGCACGGTCTCAACAACTCTGTCTGCCGGCCCCTGCCTTAATCAGCCTGCCAATGAACTCAAAGCCCCCAGGCACAATGATGGCTAACACAAGGACTCCTACATTCAGTCCGGAAGATGGGACCGTCTTTTCTGGCAGGTCCTGGGGTCAATAGCATGGTGTGCCCAAATCCTTCATTTAAAGACAGAATCTCAAATATATCCATTTCTTGGGGGAGAAGCAAACGCTAAACTCTCACCAGCCCCTGGGCTCAGAAGGAACGGGTGATATTCCATTCCATTCCATTCTATCCCATCTTTCTATTCTATTCCTATTCCATCCCATTCCTATTGTATTCTTTTCTGTTCTATTCCTATTGCTATTTCTATTTCTATTCCTATTCTGCTCTATTCTATTCTATTCTATTCTATTCTATTCTATTCTATTCTATTCCATTCCATTCCATTCCATTCCATTCCATTCCATTCCATTCTATCCCATCCCATTCCATTCCTATTCTATTCTGCTCTGTTCTATTTTTATTCCTATTCTATTCTTTTCTGTTCTATTCCTATTCTATTCCTTGCATTTTATTATATTAAATTTATTTAAATATAATTTATATATTTATTATATTTATGGCAAGACCACACTTGGAATATTGCATCCAGTTTTGGTCACCACAATATAAAAAAGATTCGAGACCCTGGAAGGAGTGAAGAGAAGAGCAAAAAAGGTGATCAGGGGATCATAGGCTAAAACGTAGGGGAAATCGTTGCAGAAGTTAGGTACCTGCACTCTAGAGAGAAGAGGGACTAGGGGTGACATGATAACAGATAATCAGAGTTGGAAGGGACCTTATAGGTCATCTAGTCCTACCCCCCACTGACAAATGGCAGTCCAGTCTCTTCTTCAAAGCTTCCAATTGCGATGGCGCTCCCACAACTTCCGAGGGCAACTTCTGTTCCATGGGTTGATTCCTCTCACTGTCAGAAAGTTTCTCCTCATTTCCAGGTTGAATCTCTCTCCTGGATCAGTTCCCATCCATCGTTTCTTGTCTCGCCATGATATCAGTCTTCCAATATTTGAGGGGGGGGGGCTGCCCCAAAGAAGAGGGAGTCAACCTATTCTCCAAAGTACCAGAAAGGCAAGACAAGAAGCAACGGATGGAAACTAACCAAGGAGAGAAGCAACCTGGAATTAGGGAGAAACTTTCTAACGGGGAGGACAATTAACCAGGGGAACTCCTTCCCTCCAGAAGTACTAGATGCTCCAACACTGAACGTTTTAAGAGGTTGGACGGCCACTTGCCTGAAATGGTTTAGCTCGTCTCCAGCTCGAGCAGGCGGGCTGGAGTAGAAGACCTATTATTCTATTATTTCAAAGGATTTAAAAAAAAAAAACACCCAGCATTTTAACTGTTAAAGCTGCCCAGAGTAGCTTTTCAGAATGAGACGGTTGGGATCTAAATTGAATAAATCGACACATGCAAAGGGTCTCTCGCCTTTTGGCCAGGACAGCTTCTGGGAAGCCGTTACGTATGCTTGCTGCCCACACAACCGGAGTCCTCTGCCACCCCACCCCCCCAATTTGAGGCAGGAGATGCCAAGGGAAACAGCTGGCCTACAAAGAAGAACGGAGAGCGAATCGGAAGTGGCGGACCTGCAAACCTCTATGGAGGAGCTACAGCAGCGTATCAATTTACCCCGCCACCCCGGTGCCGCCGGTTCCTTGGCTGGATTTGCAAGGTTTCTCCAGCTGTAGCCAGGCAGGAGGGCAGAGGTAGAGAAACAGATGCCGTCCTCCACCCACAAGACAGGTCCCTCGGGGCTGAGGGGGAATCCCACCAGCCTAAGCAGAGAATCCTTCACCTGCCTGCCTGCCGAGGCGTCATGACCGAAAGCTTTAATCATAGATTAGCAAGCAATATCCGGGGGATTTTATCTTCCGGAAGCTATGAGGGAGCCCCAACTTTTGGGGTCTCTTCGGAAAAAGGTGGATGGGTTCTGTGTTCTCAAGAGGCTTTTGTGAATACTTTTGGACTGGAAAGGTAAACAGAGACCAATGGGAGCTGGTCACTCCCATCTAGCACTCTGGTGATGTTACCTAGCTGGGTCATGAAACGTCTGCAAGAGAACTACCCAGCTCAGAGAGCAACAGAGACCCCGCACAGTCTTCCTTCTCCTCCTTGCCACAAACTCCACTCCCTTCTAGCGCAGAGGATGTTACCTAGCTGGGTGAGGAAATATCTAGAAGAACATTCCCACTGACACTGACAGGACAAGCTATCTAAAAAGAGAACAAATGCCACCACCCCTTCCAGCACTGATGATGCTCCCTAATGGGGTAATGAAACGTCTGCAAGAATACAAGCAACCTCAGAGCAACCTCAAGGACCCCTTCCCGGTCTCCTCCTCCTCCTCCTCCATTCCACAAACCCTACTCCCATCTAGGACTGATGATGTTACCTACTTGGATAATGAAATATCTACAAACACACACACACACACACACACACACACAACCAACCAAGCTCAGAGGGCCCCAAGGGCCCCACATTCCTCCTCCTCCTCCTCTCCACAAACCACACTCCTTTTTAGCACAGGTGATGCTACCTAGTTGGGTCATGAAACATCTGCAAGAAACCAGCCAAGCTCATAGAGCACCAAGGACATCATAGTCCTCCTTCTTCTTCCCACAAACCCCTCTCTCCCTTCTAGTACTGATGATGTTACCTAGTTGGGTCATGAAACATGCAAAAAAAAACCCCCACCAAGCTCAGAGAGCACCGAGAGCCTCACGGTCCTCTTCCTCCTCCTCTTCTTTTTTCTCCTTGTCCTCTTTCTGCTCCTCTGTACAATCCCCCCACATCCCCTTGTAGCACTGATGATGCTACCTATTTGGGTCATGAAACATCTACCGGAAAACAACCAAGTTCAGAGAGCACCAAAGACCCCACAGTTCAAACCCTGAGCTACCAATTCTCCTCGATCGGTAAACAGCAATTTGCTCTAATCTCTCTATTCCCCAGAGTTGTAGAAAGACAGAATTTAAAGCTTTGCAATTTACCAGGAGGTCAACATCTCACCATCGAATGGGCTATTTAGCCAGTTAGTTCCTCTCCATTCTACAAAGAAAATCCTTTATCAATTAACGAGCCTCGCGAAGAAAGGCAACGGGTGGAGGAAGGGCTTTTCTCTGCTCATCTGCAGGTGAGCTTGGAAATCAGGACTGAAAGCTGCTCACTGTTTGTATTTTAGGGGAAGTGGGCAGAGGGGAAGCGAAGGAGCAGAACAGAACAGCCCAATAATATGATTTGAGCTCCCAGAATGGAAATACTGAAACTCGCGGGGACTAACGGTCTGCGCGTACAGAGAGTGGTAAGGAGGTCAGCGATGCCTGTTGTGCAAAAATGAAATCCGCCGCTGTGGAGAGATGCTCCATTTGGAAGAAAGCTGGGCCTTCCTGCCATGGGAATGTCCCAGTTTTTCAGCTCGAGTCCGGGGCGAAGAATGGAGAGAGAAAATCCTGCCAGGGATCGGGCCTGTCCGGAGCCATCTGCGGGGTCCAGATGGCGAGAGGGGAGCTGGGACCACACGAACCAAAACCTTGCTTTGCTCGCACAATTACAGCCAACCTCGTTTATGACCTTCTCCCCCTGTTATGGACACCTTAGCTTTTGATCTAAACCAGGGGTGTCAAACTCAAGGCCCCCAGGCTGGATCCGCCCCACAGGGTGCTTAGATTTGGCCCTGGAAACAGTGAAGAACCGGCCTGCGGTGCCTCTGCCAGCGAAAATGGGAGTACGGGAGCGAGTGTGGTCTCTCCGGGCTCCCCATTTTCGCTGGCAGAGGGCTAGCAAAGCAAAGTGGACTGGCAGCTCCACTTTTAAAATAGTTTACAGATCCACAGAGTTGAAAGGGGCCTTGTAGGTCAGCGGTCCCCAACCTTTTTTGTGCCGCGGCCCGGTACCGGCATCACAAAATCACCGGCGGCCCGGTACCGGCATCAGCACGCATGGCAAGGCGAGCTGAGCGACCGGCCAGCCAGCCGTCCCCCGCTTCTCCCCGCCACCTTCAACTCCTCCTTTGTACCCTTGTCGATGGGCTTTGCGACGGCTTTGGGACGGTTTTGTTTTGTTCGAAGCCGCCCCCCCCCTCGATGAAACTAAGGCGCGAGGATTCTTTCAGCACCCAAACGCCGCTTTCTACCCAGAAAAGCTCACCGGAAGCACTTTTTCATCAAAACAAGATGGCGGCGCCCAGCAAACCGGCGGCCCGGTAGAAATTGTTCCACAGACAGGTACCGGTCCGGGGACCGGTGGTTGGGGACCCCTGTTGTAGGTAATCTAGTCCAACCCCACACCTTTTTTGACAGGGGGCAGTCCAGCCTCTTTTTGGCTGCATGTACCTGCAGTGGACGGAAATTGGCCCGTCTTGTCCAAACTGCTCCTTAGTTTTGTGCACCTGCCCGATGAAATCGATGAAGCCTTCGCCGGATTTTGGCACACCTTGTTCTGGCCAGTCCGTGAACTGGAACTGACGCACGGTTCTAGACTGGCCGTCCTGGAAGTAAAAGAAAAAAAAAAGGGCAAAAATGGAAGGTGTAAAAACAGAACTGGCAGAGCAGAGCAAGTTCTCAAAACTTGCAGGTAGTCCTTGATTGACGATCATTCGTTTAGCAACCATTCAAAGTTACAACAGCACTGAAAAAAAGTGACTTACGCCTGGTCCTCACACTTACGATCTTCGCAGCCTCCCCGCAGACACGTCATGAAAATTTGGGCGCTTGGTAACCTGTATTGATGACAGCTGCAGCATCCCAAAGTTCATGGGTTCATCACTTGCGACCTTTCCCAGTCAGCTTTCGACAGAAAACCTCAGCGGAGGAGGTTAGATTCGCTCAACGACTATCTGTTTCACTTAACAACTGAAGCCATTTGCTTAACAACAGGGGCAAAAGAGGTCGCGACATCGAGCACGGCTCACTTAGCAATTGCCTTGCATAGCAATGGAGATACGAACCCCAATTGTGGCCGTAAATCAAGGACTACCTGTACCGGAGACTTCTGTGTGGTTTTGGCTTGTCTAGCGCAAAGAAAGTTTATTGTTTGAGCGGTGTCTATGTGTGTGTGCGTGTTTATCTCAATCCTCATCCAAGAACGTTCATTGGCTCCATCCACAAATCAGGCCCTGAGTTTTGCTGGCCTTTAGAAAAGTTTTAAAAACTTGGGTTATTCCCCGGGGATTGGAATCAGGCTGAGCCAAGCGCTCATCATCAGACAATGGTGAGCCAGCTGGCCCATTATTGGGGTTATCGATCGCTGCTTTAAACTTGGGTTTCTTTTCCCTTGTAAGCTGCCCAGAGTCACTTTATTTAGGTTAGCTGGTCACATCAATACTCTACATAAACTTGTAGGAAAATCAGGGCTGGGCTGCTGGGGGTTCGCAGGGGGTTGTGAGAGCCCCTAGCTAAGATTCTGTGCAGTTTGGAGACCCCCCCACCAAATCCCACTCCTGGCTGGCCCTACCCACCCCTCCCCTCCCAGGAGTCCCCACACGGCCTGTTTTGGATGCAAGTCAATGCAGGGCGTGCGGGGAGGCTGAAAAACGGGCCTCACGGAAGTTCGGGAAGGCTGGAAACGGGCCTGTTTCTGGCTTCCAGAGAGCCTCTGGAGCCCGGGGAGCCCATTTTCACCCTCCCGGAGACCTGAGGAAAGCCTCCGGAGCCCGGGGAGGGCAAAAACGCCCCCCACTACCGGGGTTCAGGAGGCTGAGTAGGCCACGCCCACTCAGCAACCGGGCAGAGAACCCATTGCTAAAATTTTTGAAACCCAGGTTAGGAATTTGAGGGGTAGCCACGGGGGTGTGTGTGGGTGTGTTGTGTGGGTGTGTGTCAGAAAACTCAACATACTCTTATCAACAAACCAGTGCTGAACCCCTTTTTAAGAAAGGGATGCCATTGAAGAAGGAGAGGCAAATCCAGGGGATAAAAATATAAAAATAGCTGAGGATTTGTGAACTAAGGAACTAAAGTCTCAATCTGAGGCTCTGGCAAACCAACCCCAAGGTCCAGTTTCTATCCTTCCTTAGCTGCAAACTCAACGGTGACCTAGCTAAGACATTCTCGCTCAAATTTAGGCTACCTCTCAAGTCCGGCGCGAGGCTGACACTCAGGGTGGGAGAAGGCGGTACCCTTAAATCTGGTGCCTCAGCAGAAATTCTGCAACGGCTGAATTTTGGGGCTGAGTCACGCCGATGGCTCAGGCGGGGCTCCCTGCGTTTCTTTAAGGAGCAGGAGACAAATGTAATGAATTTTTTTAAAATGGTGCAGCGGTCAGGGTGACACAGCATGGAGGGAGCGGGACAAAAGAGAGAAAGAGAGAGAAAGGCACAGGTGGCTTTTCACGTCCTCCAGAAGCAGGAAAAACCTTGGAAACACGTTTGAAAGAATTAAACCACTGAGAGAGAGAAAGCACAGGGGGTGGTTGATGATTTCATAGCAGAATTCATGCAGATGGAATAAAAGGGAGTTTAGGAAGAGGGATGTGGGGAGGATTATGCACTGGCAGTGGTGTAATTTTGAAGAAAAACCAAGGAAACCCACGGGAACAGGTGAACTAGAAAATATCTTTAATCTTTTCGTCCATTCTGAATGATCTCCCTGTAGAATTGACGAGCTGGAACAAAAGTGACGATCAGTTATAAAGTGAGATCAGGGAGGGTGGGATAATCATGCTATAATAAAAGAAAAAAAAAGAAACTTATTCTTTATTTTAGATGGTCACACAGAGAGACCTGCATATCAAAAAAGCATAACGAAGAATGTTCTTCCTGCGCCAACTCAGGAAGCTCAAACTGCCCAGGGAGCTGCTGATCCAGTTCTACGGAGGAAGGATGGAGCCTGTCATCTGCACCTCTATAACCGTCTGGTTTGGTTCTGCAACCCAACAGGACAGACACAGACTCCAGAGGGGAATTAGGACTGCAGAAAAAACAATGGCTACTAACCTGCCTTCCATCGAGGACCTGTATACTGCACGAGTCAAAAAGAAGCCTGTGAAAATATCTACAGACCCCTCACATCCCGGACATAAACTGTTTCAACTCCTACCCTCAAAACGAGGCTATAGAGCCCTGCACACCAGAACAACTAGACACAAGGACAGTTTTTTCCCCAAACGCCATCACTCTGCTAAACAAATAATTCCCTCAACACTGTCCAACTATTTACAAAGCCTGCACTGCTATTACTATTAACCTTCTCATCACTCCTCATCGCCCACCCCTCCCACTTGTGACTGTATGACTGTAACTTTTGTTGCTTGTATCCTTACGATTTATATGGACTGTTTCCTAGTATGATTTGATGGCTTATTGTACCCGATGACTAATTATTAAGTGTTGTACTTTATGATTCTTGACAAATGTATCTTTTCTTTTATGTACACTGGGAGCATTTGCACCGAAGACAAATTCCTTGTGTGTCCGATCACACTCGGACAATAAAAAAGAATTCTAATTCTAATATGAAAGCAGAAGGCCTAAACTTAAATGTGTGGCGAGGGTGCAGATAATGCGTGAGCTATTTTCAGAACTTCGCTGCGCCGCCTAGGCAGATGGTACTTTTAGTATTTGTAAACTGCTTTGACCATCATCCACCGTGGGATACATTACTTGAGCTGTGCAGCATTTCAGGCCAGTTTCTGCTTGGAAAACTGCTTCTAGCCTTTGTGTTCGAGACGGGGAAAAAATATATGAAACCTTGACTTTAGGATGGGCTGATTAGATTACAGGTAGTCCTTGATTTAACAACCACATTTGAGGTTGGAACTTCGGCTGCTAAGCACGACAGTTGTTAAGTGAATTTTGCCCCATTTTACAACCTTTCTTGACACCGTTGTTAAGTGAATCGCTGCAGTTGTTAAGTTGGCAACACCGTTGTTAAAAGTGAATCCGGCTTCAGCATCGACTTTGCTGGTCAAGAGGTTGTAAAAGGGGATCACATGACCCCGGGGACACTGCGACGACCATCGTAAATGGGAACCAGTCGCCAAGTGTTCCAATTTGGTTCATGCCACCATGTGGGGATGGCTGCAACAGTCGTAAGTGTGGAAAAACGGTCACGAGTCACTTTTTTCAGGGCCGTTGTGACTTCAGAGGGTCACTGAATGAATGGTTTTTAAGTTGAACACTCCCTGTGGTCTGCGGTTGGAGGAACGGCTAGTATTTACTAAGTGTGTAAAAATAAAAAAAGGTCAGGCTGTAACCAGAGTTGGTATTCAGCCAGTTCTGATCGGTTCTAGAGAACCAGTGGCGAAAATTTTGAGGGGTTCGGAGAACTGCAAATCCCGCTTCTGACTGGCCCCGCCCCCACCTATTCTCGGCCTCCCATTGAGTCCCAGCTGATTGGCTGGGTTTTCTTTGGTTGCCCTGCGCAGGAGAACGGAGCTGGAAAGCAGGTTAATGGGGTTGGAAGGGAAGAGGGCAGTATCCTTCCCCTGCCACGGCCATCAAGCCACATCCACAGAACTGGTAGTTAAAAAATTTGAATCCCACTTATCTGTCTTGTGGGGGGCCAGATAGAGGATGCCCAAATCCCTAAGAGATCTATCTTCCCCCTCGGGGAATCTCACTGATGACAGTCACAAAGCCCAACTGATCCACAACACAGGTGGACTCAGCCTGATCCTATGGCTCAACCCGATCATCTGCATTCATCACCAATTCCTTTCCCAACATTGGAGCACCGTCTGATGCTGGAAAGCTGGTACGGGGGATGTGAACCGGGCATTTGACTTACCCTGGCGTCGGTGACCTTGAATTCTCGGAGGATGTATTGAGGCATGTTATATTCAGCCATGGGGTCCACCACAAAGTACTGGTATCGTGCAGACCTCTCAGCCGGCCAGTACTGATGGCACTTTTCCTGTGGACCAACAGAGGAGGAAGAAGCTCACTTGCTACTGGCAAAAAACAACCCAGGCCCTACCTGCACGAGCCTTGCACTGAGATATTTCATGCAATAAAATTCCCTCAGGGGACTTGCCTACTTCAAAGCCAACTGCCTGAATGTGCATTCCCTTTGAGCGCTAAAATTAGAATTTTAAGAAAATCTTCTTCTTCTTCTCCTCCTCCTCCTCCTCCTCCTCCTCCTCCTCCTCCTCTTTAGCCCCTCAGCCACAGGGACAGAGGCCACCAATGAGCCCTGATGGCACAGTGGTTAAAATGCAGCACTTGCAGGCTGCCCACAGCCTGGAGTTTGATCCTGACTGGCTCGAGGTTGACTCAGCCTTCCCTCTTTCCGAGGTCAATACAATGAGGACCCAGATTGTTGTGGGCCAGAGGCTGACTCTGCAAACCACTCTGAAGGGGGTGGAAAGCACTTTGAAGTGGTGTGTAAGTCTAATTGCTATTGCTAACCCCAAACACACAGCTATTTCTTAGTAGGGCTGCCAACGTGCCACGACACCTGAGATACACCATTGATTTTCCTGCTCTCTTCCTAACAGTCCAAACTTGGTTATCATCTAATCCGAGATTTAAGTTGAGGGGTTCCTCACGTGCATTTCTAGCTGTGTATGGATGGGGCTATATCCAAACAGCTGTTGGCAGCCAGGAGTTTCGGCAAGAAAAGCCCCCCCCCCCCCCCCCCCCCCCCCCCCCCCCCCCCC